CTTTAGTTTAAAAAAATGCATGTGCCTTAGGATTTAGTGTATAAAGGTTACACATTGGATATTTTGCTCAAAATGAAACACAAGAGCGTTTCTGAAGTGCACCTGAAGCAGGTGAGGAGATCGGTAGCCCCTGCTGACCAAAGGAAACATCGCAAAGTGACTGTTCTTGAACAGCCGGAAAGAATTAGAAATAGCATGCAGAGCGGTCAGTCAACACATACTTTTCAGCAATCATTTTCTTTATTAAAGTGTTTCGTGATCCCCCCCCTCTATCTTTTCAGCGTCGGTTCTGGTGGACAGGACTCAGGAGTGCTGTCCTGAATGTCATGGAAAGTCACGCCATTATGATTATACATTAAAAACTGGAAGCAACTTTCAAACTGAGCTCGTGAGAGACGCATCAAAGCATGTGATGGCATGCCAGTTTCCTTTATGGATATATATTTATGATTAGATTACAGGCTAACCCTCATAATTGCTTACTTTTTCTAATGTTATAGTTTCTGTATTTTAGCTAACTATTTTAGTCTTCATTTAAAATAAATCAAGGAGTTGTGCTTTGGACAACGTGTCACCTGAGCGCACGGATCTGTGCAAATCACGGCTTATGTCTCGAACATCTTATGCAATGAGACGGCAAGCTTTTCTTATGACAGCTTTAGGTAAATGTTTGCACAGTTTTAGTTTCAAGACAGCACAAACAGTTGCATGTAGACACAACTGAGAGTGCTTTCACGCAATTATGCTATTTTAAATATGCAGCATAATAATTTCAACTGACATTGTGTGGATCACAAATATAAAACAATAAAATCCATATACCGTTTATGTTAAGTATAGTTTAATTTATAGTAGCCTAAACTTCACTAAACTTTAAGATTCTGATTAATGAATATTTACACTATTTTATGTTCATTCACTTGCATATATACTTTTAGTTTATGCTACAGTTATGACATTTTTTGTCATGCTTATTGATTTTGTCTTTAATTAGTTATTCAAAACACGCATTATTCAAATGCAAAACAGACTATCTTGAACAGACCTCTTTATTTTTTATATTTTTGTAGAGTATCCTAATAAATGTTTAAGAGCAGCGAAGTTTTTTAGCCTAATATTTTAAACAAATTTCTCCACAAATCATAGTCAGTGACGTTTGTAACTCGGAAGAAAACATTCCAAAATTCATATTCAAAAACATGAATATGAAAACGTAGCCTACTGAAACATGTTTGATTTTTTAAATAATGATTAAGTTGTGCACTCAAGTGTATCCATTGTCAGAAATGTTACAT